GATATTGCATATTTATCTTATCAAGTGGCAAGTATTGATTCAATGATCTAATATGATCAAACTATACAATACTAAATTCTACCATAATTAATATAGTAGAATCACCGTTATTATCTAACAGGGTGAGTATAGCTATCACGATAACTAATTATTTCGATATTGCATATTTATCTTATCAAGGGATGCTTGTAAAGGGCAAGTGTTGGGTAACGTATGCGTGAATGAAGCATGAGAGTTTCGATGTTTGGTTTGTCGCATGAGGCTTCTGAGGGGGAGGATGTGAGGGTGAAAGTCAAGCATATTACGATCCGGATTTCGACCTAGCTTAAGGGTCTTCATCAGGTAGTTTTAACTCTGCTATACTGTTCAAGTGAGCCTAGTAGATTTTTTTATAATGACAATTTAGCTATGTTAGATGAGGATGGGAGATAGAGAGTGTTAGTGGTTTCGAGCTTCTCGAAAGATATATTCTACGGAGTTTCTAGAAAATCGAGCTTTAAGTTTGAGAGATTAGGCTGACATTTGTACTTGTGGATCGGATAACCTGTTTGATATATGTGTGAGTCGAAATTCAGTGCGATGAAATCACATTCGAATAAAAAAGTTTTTGGTTTGAAAAGTTTCCCGTAGTATAATCTGGCATATTAGATACGTTGAATGTGGTACTTTTTAGTATTTTGTTAACGATTTATTTGAACGAAAGAGAAAAGAACTGAACTTGGAGTATATTATAAACAGATGTTGAATCAAGAATATAAGGAGAAAAGGTCTATATTCGTCCAGTGATCTGTTTTAAAGTAATTAATGCATAGCAACAATGTTTGATGTTTTATGGCAATTGCTGTGATAAGAGCTCTAGTTCTTCCCATTGCTTGAGTTGAATAAGTTTTTCATTATTCCGTTCTTGTTCTTCCTCTTCTTGTAATATTTGAACTGTATCAATCTGATATAATTGTTCAATTTCGTCTTCCATTAACACGAATCGTTTCCGAGCAGGAAATGTTTCGCAATCGTTCACTTGTTTATGTTGGTACCATTCTATTGCATACATGTATTCTAATTCATGTGCATCCATAAATCTGTTCTTATACGTCCGATATATACGTTGTTTAAATGAGTTGAAATGTTGACGCATATGGTTCAAGTACTCTTGTCGCTCTTGTTGTTGTCGTTCTCGTTGCTGTCGACGTTCTTGCCATCTCTCATATCGTCGCTGATTTCTTTCTCGACGTCGAAGGCGCCGCTCTCGCTCTTGTCGTCGTTGTTCCTCTTGTTGCCGTTGATATTGTTCTGGTTGTTCTCTTCGTCGGTGACTTCGTCTTTAACGTTGTCTTCGTCGAGCTTCCCGCCGTCTGGCTACATAATCAGGTATTTCAAGATTAGGAATTGTTGTTGGGTTTTGAGTAGGTATCATATTTGTCGTATTGAATTGTACTAACGATTGATTTGTACTAATGATTCCAGTCGATAATAGTTGATCGATATTGGTTTCATTGTTACCCTTGTCCACTAATGCTTCCGATGGAGCGCTACCGATTTGGCTTTTATTGGCAGTCATGATGGAGGGTGAGGGTGGAGGGTGAGGATGATGGTGAGGGTGGGGTGAGGGTGTGTGAGGGTGAGAACAGCTACCAAGACCGGTTTCGTCCTTGCTTAAGGGACTCTTCAATTGGCAAATAATCTATATGATTTGCTCAGTCACAAGATCAAACTATAACTGTTATACATAAATCCGAAGATAAGTGTATAATGATAGTATCAGTCCTCAGTGGTGAGAACAGCTACCAAGACCGGTTCGTCCTTGCTTAAGGGACTCTTCAGTTGGCAAATAATCTATATCTTGAGGGTGAGGGTGTGAGTTAAAAGCACACTGTGATCGCGATTTCGACCTTGCTTAAGGGTCTCATCAGACGGTTTAACTGTATATAGACTCTGTTCTGATGATCCGAAGATCATAAACAAGATACATCTATATGCAATTGACCTATTCACTTCCAAAATGGAACGATAGGTAACGTTAACATAGGGGTGAGTTAAAAAGCACACCGTGATCGCGATTTCGACCTTGCTGAAGGGTCTTATCAGGTAGTTTTTGAGCTAGTAAGCATCGAAAAAATTCGATTTTCTAAAATGAATTGCGGTGGCGGGTGTGGGTGTGGGTGTGGGTGGGTGTGGGTGTGGGTGTGTGGGTGGGTGGGTGTGAGTGTGGGTGTGGGTGTGATGAAAGAGAAGAACTACACCCACACCCATCCACACCTACCTACACTCCACATCCATATTCACCCACACCCACACCCACACCCACACCCATACCCACACCCACACCCACACCCACACCCACACCCCACACCCACCCACATCTTAACGAGAGTTGTTTACTTATGCTCTTTAAAATTTCTTAGATTGTAAAGACAATTACAAATAATTTTATTTTGAAAAAATATTTTTGTATATTTTTATTATAGAAATTTTATTCTATCTTCAGTATAAATTTTTATAATACAATTTAAAAATGGAATCATGTTGTGTAATTTTAATTTTTAAGTTTAAATTGCAAAAATTTAATATTTATATAAGCATAAACTATAACATACAAAAAGAATTTTTTTAATTTATCATATGTTTGATTTGTTTGTGGAATTTAATTTTTTTCCAAAACAAGATCATTTTTTTTCAGATGTTAGTGAGCAAAAGAATTTCTCTGAAAAAAATTTTGAAAAACTCTAAACTTATTTTATTCAGCCGTGTTTAACTAATTTTCGATTTTACGAGAAATATTTTTTATTCATACTAAAATTAGGAAAAGTAGAAATGAAATTCTATTAAATAGCATGTTAGAATGTCTATTGACATGTAGAAGATGATTACTTGATCATATAGTTCAATCGGATAAACGACAAGTAAGTTATATATTGTATGCATGTTCGAATCTAACCTACGGTTTCACATTTCTATAGCTTAGACTAGTCCGGACTAGACCACTACATAAGACTACAATCTGTTAGACGTAGCGTCATGGATGCTCTTCATTTTTTCATTTAAAATCTCTAGAGTCAGGACGACGCAACATGTCTAGTCTTTTTCTCAAAAGAGACAGACTAGTCCAGACGAGTACGTTTTGAGAAAAAGACTAGACTTGACTCAGAGTCATGACTAGAAAAAAAGACTAGTCCTTTTACTAGTCCTTTGCTCGCCTGGGATGAAGAACGAACCATATAACTATTATCAAAATTGTACGGATAATTTTTACGTCTAAAACATACATGATTTTCAAAGATTGACTTCTCATTTCATATAAATTCAACCACTAACGTTGGTTTTTTTATTGTAAATACTAGGTAATGTGATGATTCTTTTGATATTGAAAAAACCTTAAAAAGTCTGTATTTTGACTAAGTTTGATCAAAAAAGAAATCGTACGGATAATTTTTGCCGCGACTGTATATGTAATTCTAGATTCGCTCCATGTGGGACGAATCAAGAAATTTTTTTTTCTTGGTGGTTCCACGAAAAGATTTCATTCTCAGATTTCCTGAAGGCATTGTAGGTGAACGTATGTTAGGATTGTAGAGAAATGATTGAGCTACATATTGGTGAAAGAATTATTGAAATCGGATTAAAAGTGGACGAGAAACTTTGATTTTACTGTCAAAGCTGAAATTCAATGCGATTCTAGATTTGCTCCGCTTATAGATGTGTGATTCTTGATTCTCCCCAAGCTGGGACGAATCGATAATGCGCTTTAGGGGTCTCAGGAAAACTAGCGTAAGTTCTGCCTCCGACAAGATCATCAAAATCTGAAAGCAGGAGCTTGAAGAAAAATATTTTCTCTACATTGTTTGTGAAGAAAGTTTTTTTTTTCTATCGTGCAAAGTGACGAAGATATAAATAAAACAAGACAAAAATTTAAAAAGGTCTCTTGATTCGTCCCGCTTGACTTTATTATCATAGTTTTTATATACTTTATTTTTGTAAGCTTGACATTATCAATAAGACAACCGGTGTTTTTTACTTTAAAGTATCATATTACGATAAGAAAAGAAAACATTGGCTCCCAGATGGAAAAGTTTAACTATAGATACTCTTGTTCATCTACCTCTCACAATGTCCTCAATCGGGAATTTTGAGCTAGATACGAAGGAACATTCGTCTGCTGTCTCTAGTCAAACAAGATTGATAAAAGAAAGTACCTTTACGTGTTAAAACGAGCTCTTACCTCACCGAACTTCCTGCATGAACATTTTTTTTTTTAATTTTCTTTTTAGCAAAAATGAATGACTATCCTGAGCAGCTGTATCATACTACATTGTTTCAAGATTTTGAGAATAACAAAAACGAAATCATGTTTCACAATTTTCCATACACATTTTGGTAAAATTTCGAATTTAAAAAAAATAAAAATAAAAGATCATCGAATTGAGTATGAAAATAGTGTCGAAATATCCATTTGACTTACGAAGACTTTTATGATGGAACTATTTCTCATCACATCGATAATACCACATACGTATATTCCCAATATTTTTTATTGCTTTCTGAATATAGTACAATACAGAACCATAAAAATCTTATTAAGTCAAGAATTTCTACTTCTACTTTTCTAAAACAAAATTTTTTCTTCAGGAACGAAAAGATATTGTACCATGATGTTTTCTGATTCGTTTTAAAAAAAATAATCATAACTAGACAATAGAGCCCGATTTCTGGCAGTTGATCATTTTTTTGTTTTCTTTTTTCTCCCTAAATGAACATCTATTTCTATTTATATGTGATGTAAAACACCACTGTGATTACATTCACGTAGAAATAAATAATCGAAGAAGAAAAAGAAATATCCGTCTGCAACGATGTTCGACTATACAAAAATGTTATATTATTTCGCTAAACAAAAAAGGTCATTTTTTTTTCTCGAATGAGAAGAGTGCTTATGAACAAAGAATCAATATATAAGTATATATATATATATCGTGTTACGAAAAACATTACAATTACATTTCAAGATGAATCAGCATAATGTTCGTCTTCTTGATCTTCCTAATGAAATATTATTTCTCATTTTGAAAAAACTTGACAATATTGATGTTCTTTATTCTTTACTGGGTATCAACAATCAACGACTTAACATTATAGCACAAGAACAAAACTTTACTAACATTCTTAATTTTGTTTCTATATCACAATCAACTGATGAGATTTCTTCAATATCTGATGCAATACTAAATCGATTTTGTATTGATATATTGCCAAGAATTCATAAAAATGTTAAATCACTCAGTATTGAATCCATTTATCTGGGATATATTTTTGGTGGTGGTCATTATCCTAATCTTACTGAACTTAAACTTTTTAATTTCAACAAACAAATCTTTTTATGTTACTTCATAGGTAAGATATTTATATGTACTGATCTTTTAAAAGATTAGTATAAAAAAAAATATTGAGATACTCACATATAACAATATCTATGTATTTTATTTAGGTGATTCTCTCTTTAGATATATTTGTAAAAAACAAATTACAAATTTGACTCTTATCATTAATGAAAACAATATTGAAATAATACAAAAAGAGTATACCAAGAATGTTTATGCAAATATCTTTGCTTTCTTTGAAAATCTAAAGCATTTGACTATTGTGCTATCGTCTATCAAGAATTATCCAAGTTTGTCGTTTTGTTTTTTACCATCAACAACTTTTTCCTCTTCGACACTCACTGAATTATGTATCAACATAAAAGATTTTAATGATGTTCATGCTTTACTTGATGGTCGTCTCAAACAATTAACTAGATTCATTGTTCAAGTTCATCTTATCAAAGATCACATATCAACATCTCACAAAAGGGTACGTTTATGCTTCATGTTATTATCGTTTTCTAATTAGTATTTAATATCGAAGATAAAATGAAGTTAATTCGAACTTCAATAAATAATGAGATGTCTACATTAGTAAATATGATGTTTTAGTTTTGATTATGAGAAAATAATTAGAAATAGATTGTTATCGTTGTTTTGACGTTATTCGAGATTATTTCATAATTAATCATTATTCATTTGAAAATAATTAATGAACCATTGTCGTTTTTTAAATTACCTGATAGAAAATATTTTGTTCTATATCTGTTTCATTAATTATGGACTTATTCATCTATTTAAAAAAAATAAAATAAAACATAGCTGGTTCAAAAATAAACACTTTAATCTATCGAGTTTTTTTTACAACTTCATTTACTTAAACTGTTCAAACGAGCATAGTTATTTAAAAGAACTATTAATTTTCTTTACTAATAATATTTCTTGTAACATCTATATAATGAATCTTATTGAATGCTTTGAAACATATTAAGAAAATTTATTCTTATATAATATTTGATGATTTTATCGAATTGTTCCCTAGTTCCTATGCGTCTGAAGATAACAAATACAAATTAATCATTATTACAAGATAATACATATATTTCATAGAAGTCGAGAAACATTTAAAAACAGAATTTGAAAATGAATAATGTTTATTGATTAATGGTCGATGTGAATTTATTTTTTAGTTCAACTGATAAAAATGAAGTTATAAATATTTGCTTTCTATTTTTCAGGTTGATCTACCTAATTTAAAATGTTTCTCATTAACATCCTATCATAGTACTATAGGATTTAACACTGTAGTTGTACCTCTTCTTCGTCGAATGTCATATCTCGAAGAATTAACTTTATATATTCGTATATGGAATAGATTAACATTCATCGCTGGCACTTATCTTGATAATGAAATTCTTATTCATATGCCAAAACTTCATACATTCACATTTTATATTGCTTCTCAAAATGACAATCCTCATCCGGCTATTCGTATATCTAATGATGATATTCAACGAACTTTCACAAAAAAAGAACATCGACCGATGACTTCTATGGTAGATTATTTTGACCCTTACAAAATGATATGTCGCATTTTTTCACTTCCATTTAAATTTCATCGTCTCGACGACATTGGAAATAATATTCCAGATATTGTATTTAATTCTGTTATTCATTTGAAATTATGGGACAAAGATGCATTTAAACATGAATTTTTCATTTGACTTGCTCGAGCTTTTCCATTTCTTAAAAATTTATCAATTTGGAATATGAAACCACCATTTTTGGGGACTCCCAAATATCATCTACGCTATAAAGATTGGTGCTCAATTATTGAAGAACCTCATCTTATTTCACTTGACATCGAATGTGTAAATACTTATTATGTCGAACATTTTCTCAATGAAGAAAAAGCACACTTACCTCATTTAACAGAATTAAAGGTCTGTTATCATAGTTTGAAATTTGTAACAAAAAATTTTACAAGAGATGAAACGCGACGTAATTGTGCTAGAATAAAACAATTAATTGTTGAAGATCCAATAACTTATCCGAAAGATGTTTATCGCTATTTTCCTTTATTGGCAGTTTAATTTTGTGCTGATATTATCTTAATAAAAATCTCTGGTGTAAATTATAATTTTTTTTTCTTAAAAAATCAAGGATAATACAAAAAATGTGAGCCGTCGATGAAGAGAAAATCTGCTATGAAAATTGTGTTGTTGTGAAAAACAATTGCTAATATAATCTTATGTGTTTATGTTGCAGTATGATCGAAAAATAAAATTGTATAGATGAATAAAGTTTCAAAACGAAATCTACTACTCGACATCATATTCTTTGTCATTTACTCAAGTGATTATATATGATATGTTGATAATGATTAAGATGATTTTTGATTTACATTGTTAATCATAATATAGTTTCGCTTGTTTTTTATTCCAGTCAATGAAAGAACTCACTGCTAATAATATAGATGACAATAATGAACACAAATTAGTAACAAGAAAATTGGTAATAATGGATAATTTTTCGGAAGATTTTTGTGATGAAATATATATCTATACGACTACAAATATAGAAAAGAAAGATTGTCTTTGTTTTCTGAAAATTGTGCTATAATTTATTGTTTCAAAGAAAACAACTTTTTCATAGAAAAGTTTTAAGGCCCCCCCCCCCCACTCAAAAAAAATCAATTTTCGTCAAAATTATCGAAATTGAGATAAATGCATCGGAAGATAGCCCGTCTTCTGCTCTTTCAGAAATCATATTGGTTTTTCTTCGGCACCTCGTTTTTGGTCAAAGTTTTCGATGATTTTTGTTAAGCTCTTCTTGAAAAATATGCTTATTTTAAAAAAAACGAAAAATGTTTTTCGTTTTTTCTCAGTTTAGGCTTTCTGAACCGCGCAATCCATTTTTCTCTGTCCAGGCTCATTCAATATATTTTAATTTTTTTTTGTTTGAAAGAGCACGTCAAGATGCAGTGCAGTACAGAGTCCTTTTTTTAATTAAGCTTTATTTTTTATTATATATACAGTCATATATGTAATTAGACACCCATTTTTGGCGCGTTTTTTGAGTCATTGAACTTGTGATTCCCTTTTTTCGCTAAAAAAGTAAGAATTTAAAAAAAAGGACTCTGTACTGCACTGCGTCCTGAGATGCCCTTTCAAACAAAAAAAAAATTAAATACATTGAAAGAGCCTGGACAAAGAAAAATGGATTGCCAAATGAGCTATTTTTGGCCCTTGTTTGCTTCATATCTCTATCAAACATTAGGGTATCGAGCTGAAAATTTTATCACAGCCTCCTCACTTCAGCCCCAACATATGCTTCAAGTTTCAGCCCATTTAAACTTTCCTGGGCTGAGATCGATTTTTGAGTGGTGGGGGGGCCTTAAGTATCAATCAGGCTTCGTAGTCGTCCTATAATGTCCTCTTTTTCAAATAATTATCCTATATTCTTCAAAAAATTTAGGATCGTTGTTTTAATTTCTATTAACTTTGCCTAGAAAAGGCAAACATACCTATTCACGTATCGCTGGTTCCATCAGCAACAATAAACATGAGATCTATTGACAATGTATCCATATTTTTTAGCTCACTATCATATGGTATAATATTGTACTGTCAATTATCGCTGCCAAATCTGATGCTGCTTGTTCAGGATAAACCTAATTATTTTTCTACACTAATACGAATCAGCTAGCGATTGAGAACACAATGTGGTGTATCACATTGAAAATATGACCATCAATGATATATCATAGTCATTGATTGATGCTAATCGATAAATTATATAGACATATTCAACAAATAGTTTAGTACTACAAAATCTAAATAGGATGAAAATCGAAATGAATCTTTTCAAAAAAAAAACTGATATTGAATATGAATTATTAGAGAAGTTCTATAGATTGATATGTTATTTGATATTTATGATGATTTTAATGGTTA